CGCGCCCCGGCCCCGCCCGCCCGCGCCGACAGCGCCCCTCCGCGGGCTCAGCGAGCCAGACGCCCGGACGCGCGGACTCGAGGTGGGGGGCGCGGCCCCGCCGGCCGTGGGGCGGAGGACGGAGGGCCAGGTTCTGTCCCGGCCCGTCCGCACGCACCTGCCTCGCGCGTCCCGGGACGTCGGCGCCTCCTGCGGGGTATCCTGGCAGAGCAGCGCAGGAAGGGGACGGCGGGACATAGTCGCAGCCCCTCCCCCTCCAATCTGTCCTGGGGACCCCAGCCTTGGAGTCCCGTTTCCGTGGAGACGCTTAGGGAGCCCAGTGACCTGTGCTCCCCACCCCGCCCAAGCTCCAGGGCCTCTCCCTATCCGGGGCGGCTCTTCGGAAGCCCCCCCACCAAATGCCCCAACCTTGGCCTATGGACCCCCAAGGGACCCGCCCTTCTCGGGTCCCACAGCGCGCAGCGAGACCTGCAGCCTCTGCGCCTCCACTCCTCGACCCCGATTCTGCCTTCCCCGCCCCTGACCCCCACCCCTCGGCAGCTCCCGGACTCCCGCGGGCGGGAAGGTTCCGGCTGGCCTCTGGGCACCACCACTTTACGTTCAGAGTCCTAAACCCAGGGGTCGGGGGCGGGGGAGCGCTCTGCCAGGACGCAGACTCGAGCCCGGAGCCCGCCAGCCTCGCGTGTGGCGGTGGGACGCCTGGCCTGGGCATGGGGCAAAGCGGGGAGACAGAGTCGCCTAAATCACAGCGGCCCACGGGGAGGCCTTTGAGAGTCAAGGGGTGTTCGGGACACTGCCCAGGGAGATGAGCCTCGAGCACGACCTAAAGGTAAGCGGCGACGGAGGAAGAGCCCTGCCGGGGGCCGGTGCGCACCTGCCGGCCCGGCCGGGTGCCAAGGCTGGGCCATACCGTCCCGCTCTCTGCCGCTGCGCCCCTCTGGCCTCGCCTGGGAGGGATCATGGACTCTCCTAGCTCCACGCCACCGCGTGCCGGGTCCCTCTCCTGACTCCCCCCAGTGGCAGTGGGGGACGTTGTCGCAGCCGGACTCTAGCCCGGAGAGCCCCGCTTCCGTTCGTCCCCAGCAGACTCATCAACAGGCTATTTGCGACCGCACGGCGGCGATTACCACCCGCCCAGCCCCCACCCAGGCTTCCGGTCAGGAGAGAGGCCGCGAGGGGCTGTCGCCCTCCCTGGCCCCTCGGCCACCCTGGCCTGTGATGTGCGCAGGATACAAAGGGGGGCAGAGTCTCCCCGCTTCTCCTTCTCCCCGCTCCGGCCCGCACTGGCAGGGGACTGGGGGGGCTGTCCTGCCCTCCTCTGCCCCCATCCTGTCTCCTCCAGGCCCCTGAGCCTTGGGGGAGGGGAGGCTCCCTGCAGCGGACCAAGGGCTTCTGGGAGGAGGCCACCCGCCATCTCGGTGGATTGATTAAAGTCATTGTGGGTATTTTTTTAACATTTAATTTACCAGGCACGCAGCGGCCGGTCAGAGCTGTCCCAGGGGAAATCTAGACCAAGGGAGCAACACAGAAAAACCTCCTGCCATTGCGCGGAGCTCCTCTGATGGGATTAATTGCTGGGCTCAGCTTCCAGCAGACCCACACGTGGCAGTCTGTCAGGGAGGCAGCGGGGCACGGGGATGGAGGGGTCAGATCCCTGCCCTGAGTGCCTGCAGCCCTGGGCACCCCCCCACCTGCTGGTGGCGCTGAGAAGCCCCCAAAGTGGAAGACCCCTACTCACAAAGCAGATGCACCGCCTAAACCCAGGCCCACCTGTCCCCACCAGCCTTTCGAAACAGGGGCCACGTCCTCTCAGCCAGCGGCGCTCCACGCTCCAGGGTGCGCACTGGGGCGTGGCCACCTGACAGGGATAGCTGTGGCCCTGGGAAGCTGGACTGGTAGGGAAATGGCCGATCCTGACACTTCATCCTTGGCGACAGGAGATGGGGCAGGTGTAAACGCCAGAGCTCTTGGAATGATGGCGCAGACAGGTGAAGGTCGGGCCCAGCTGTGAGCAGGACGGCCACATTTATTTCTAGAGAGGCTTCAGGCTCATAGAGGCCTGGACCTTCCTGAGAGAGACACAGGAAACAGGTAAAAGTTGCTGCTTTGGGGAGAGGGCAGGGGTGGGGTGAGGGAAAGGCTTTTACTGCCATTTTATACCCTTCTGGGTGGTTTTGGCTTCTATGGGTTTTTTTAAACATTCCTTTTAACATTTTTTAAAAAATTTTTAAGACAGGGTCTCACTCTGTCACCTGGGCTAGAGTGCAGTGGCGTCATCATAGCTCTTTGCAACCTCCAACTCCTGGGCTCAAGCAATTCTCCCGCCTCAGCCTCACCAGTAGTCAGGACTACAGGTGTGTGCCACCACACCCAGCTGATTTTTCTATTCTTTGTAGAGACGGGGTCTCTCTCTTGCTCAGGCTGGTCTCAAACTCGTGGCCTCAAGCGATCCTCCCGCCTCGGCCTCCCAGAGAGCTGCATTTAATAAAGAGACAGGGAAGGGGTACAGGCCTAAAATGCTCCAAGGCCCATGGCCCTAGGACATACTCAGTATCAGACAGACTCTCGTTCCCTCTGAGAGTG